CAAAGTAAGCGACGTCACCTACGTGATTGAAGCAATCCAGCCAAATTACACCGGTCGCAACAAACAACGTCAAACCGTCCACATCCTACGCCTCAAACCATTCCTTACTCAGTGACACCACGACCACCTTCAACTCAACGACGAGGCGTCGTTTTCTATCTGGGGGGGGTAGTATTACGAGGATAAAGAAGAGGTGGTCTGGGAGCGAGTTGGAGGAGAGAAGAAGAAGAGGATCGTTGGTTTTTGGCTTTGCTGGCAACGGACACTGTCACCTCTATTTTCTACCATCTCAATCACCTGTGAATAAACCCCATTTTCACCGTAACAATATGAATTTTGTCTGATTATAATGCAATTAAATGCAAAGGTGCAAGCGAGCTGGAAAAGGATGACGAAAATACTCCCTGGAGAAGAGGAACAAGAGGGACAAAGGACAAACACAAATCTCCAAACACAGCTAGGTGACTGGTGCGCGGCCGAAAAAATCCACCTGGCCTAGCTGGGTATCGAACCCGGGTCCTCGATCTCCATTACAGCTTTGAACTGCCACAAAATATTGCAGTAAAGAATGTACACTAGAGAGATATGTCGGCAGGTATGGCAGCTAGGCAACACCTTGGTAACACCTAGTAAGAGTAAGATCATGCACTATAGCCGGTGACAGGTCAAAAATGAAATGGAAGCTCCTCCCACCCCTTTCCGCTTCAGCAGAGCGAACGGTAGGGAGGAGGTCGCCTCCTCTTCAGCGTTTGCTCTAATAAAGTGGAAAGAGGTGGGAGGAGCTTCCACTTTGTTCTTGACCTGTTGCATTAACGGGGTCTGCGTCAGACAACCTAGCTCTTCCTTAAGGGTTCTTTTATTTATTGTACTGTTCTTAGACTTATTGACTCAATAAATTGTATATGTTTAAAATTTCCTGGTTTCTTGGGATTCCTACAGCAGGTTTTGGATTTTTGAGCTGGCAACACTAATGGGCCCTTCCTGTGCTCGTATCAGAAAGTCGTGAGACAATGCAGGAACTAATGGACCTTTTCCGAGAAGCGCTCTGGGCATGCGCAAGCGCGCGATGCCAAGCGGCGGAAGTCGGCACGAAAAATCAAGGAAATTCGGAAGGAGGCTGTGGATCAGCAAGTCGATTCCGTAATTGCACCATATATACAATTCTGTTGCACAAAAAAAGAAAGTGAACGTTAAGAAAAACACAACATTTGGGTGGACGCCATGGGATACTTCAACAAAATTTGAAATATACCTGTCGTGTTCAGAAATAGGTTGAATATGATCCACAATATCCATAAATGGCAATTGCACGTTTGTATTTTGAGCCTGGTGGCTGTATTTTTCGTTATAAATGGCCCACTCTGGCCAGCGCTCGAAGAACAGCCAACGAAGACCATGTGACATCCAACGCAATCGTGACGTAGTTCGTCTCGGGATGATCAAAGCTACGGCGAGGCTGATGTCGAGAGGATGGCCTAGTCGTTCCAGCCACCGAAGCGGCTGCTTTTGTATGAATTTTGAGTGACGGGTTAATCTTCTATAATCTTGTAGGGCGACAAGAGCGACTTCTGGGACACACAAAAGGGATTCTCGAAAAGAGAATAGTTCCTCCTTCCCCTCTTCTCTCGTCGTGGCCGCAGGCGAGACAGTTACTGTCACTAGCTGTCAAGGTTCCTAGACGGGCCTTATACAAACGAGGTGTTAGCAACATCCACCAGGTGCTCTTTGCTAATCGTATAACTATTTCTAAAATTCCTTTTCGTGACTTTTTTAACAAGATATTGGTGTGTTCGATGTCATTCTGCTCCTTTGAACACACATAGACCAAAAAATGAGCACCGAAATTTCGTTTTAGTATCCCTTTAATGTCGCGTTGGGCACGCGCCGCAGATCAGAGAGCGAAGAAACTGGTAGCGTAGCTCCCATTATCGATTGGTAGCGCGAATAGATCCTTCCTCGACTTTTAGTTTGTGCAGCCACCGCCTGATACTGTCGGTGTGTGGAAAAGGTTCATTGCAGCAGGGAAGGGGACAGTTTAGGCCTAAACTTTAGTAGGGAGAAGTCGGGTATAATAGTTTTCCATGACGAGAAGGAGGAACCCTTGGAGATACAGGACACATTGATAGAACACGTAGAAAAGTACAAATATCTGGGAGTATGGTTAAGTGAAGGAAGACGGTATCTAAAAGACCATGAAGATATTGTAATAAAGAAGGGGAAATGAGATTCGGCTATCTTGAAACACAGGGCACTCTGGAACTGTAATAGATATGAAGTTGTTAGGGGTGTATGGAAGGGAGTCATGGTGCCAGGACTGTCATTTGAAATACGGTATTGTGTACGAGGTCAGAAATCCAGGCAGGTTTGGAGTTACAGCAAAGGAGTGTGGGTAGGTTGGCATTGGGGGCGCATGGGAGTACACCAAATGAGGGAGTACAGGGGAATACGGGTTGAGCATCTTTCAAGAGTAGAGAAGCGATCAGTGAAGTACAATTTGAACAAAGACTAGCTGAAATCGAGGATACACGGTGGGCAGGGAATGTGTACAAGTATCTATATACAAAAAGTCTAAACACTAGGTGGACAAACCAAACACGCAAGCCGAGATCTAAATACATTCCACGAGATGGAGCCGATCAGAGCATATCAGTAGAAACTGAGTGGAAATTGTAGGAAGAGAGAATGCAGGGAAAATCAGCTTTAACAATATACAGGGCATAAAAACAAAAAATAAAGAAGGAACAGTTGTATGATAATTCATTGGCGAGTTCATTGCTGTTTAAACCTAGAACGGGGGTGCTAAGGACGAAAACATATAGGGCTAAAGTCCAGGAAATAGACACTCTATGCGACATATGCAACCGCAAAAGGGAAACTATAGAACATGTTATTTTAAGTTGCATGGGGCTTCGTCCCACCTTCTGGGGGGGGATGACTACAGATTTGGGTGGGGCACTGGGTTTTGCAGACATGGATGGACAAATGGAAAGAGAAAGAATTGCGGTAACTAAAAGGAGTCTGGAAGATTAGTGGAAACGATCTAGGGAGGGGTCAAAATACAGATAACAATGAGCAATGGGAACACTTTAAAGGGATGCTGAACTGAAATCTGGATTCCACAAAGCACGGCGGCAAAAGCGTGCAATATGATGCTACAAACATCAAAACATTCCTCATACAATGATATATCGAACGGATGACCGTATTTTTCAAAAAAAGGAGGCGCACTTGACAGATATATTCACGTCACGTTTCTCCGAGAAGAGGAGGGAACGGCCTCGCGTCTTCTCTGCCTCGCCACCTTGAGGAGGCGAAACGAAGAGAGGAGGAAACGAGATATCTTGGATGTCACGTGCCTCGTCGACCTCGTTCAATCTCGACCTTTTTTTCCAAAAATATGGCCGTCGATTCGAGATATTACCTTACGAGTAGTGTTGTAGGGATTGTAGCGTCCCGTCTACAGCTCCTGCATTGTTTTCTGAAATCCAAATTTCGGTTCATCATCCCTTTAAAGGGGCCTTGCAAGGACTTTTTTACTGGTTTTAAATTTGCACCGAACCCGAGTGCACTGAACGTAGTAACTTAATGAAACTTTTCTTTTCTTGAATTTCGCTTTATTTTAAAAGTTATACGCAAAATAATACAAAAACAAGCAAAAAATAACCTCTTTCATGACATTCTTGGTTGCTTAAGTGGCCGTGAACTAGAGGAGGGGATAGTGAGCTCAGCGAGCGCTCACGACTGCCGCACTTCGTGTTGATGGCTCGAGAGGGTGGCACTAAAGCATGTTCTGGATAAGCTGTATGAAGTGGGCAGCCAGGACGGCTCGCATCCCATTTCCTGCGCTAGTAAACACCAATTCGGCATGACACTTCATTGGCCACAAATGACAGCAAACACGGGGTAAAGATCAGTTCAAAACGGGAGCCACATCGCGCTGCCATACCGCCAAAGGGCCAATCCGCAAGCCAAAGCTGCTCGCCGAAGGCCTTCCAAACGCACGGAGCCGGTCGAATCCTCAACTGCAGCGCCGCCTCGTACATCCGGGACCTTTCTAGGCTCGCCGCTTGTCAGTGCCTGATCCCACACCTCTCTAGAAATGCGCCGCCCTTTCCACCGTTTGGTGGCAGATATGTTGACAAGTCATTTCTAGTGTCCATACTTTATAAACTGCATTTGTTTCTTTTCCTATCTAAAATTCCAAACAAAATCTACTTTTATAACTAATTGAAATTACTCAAGCCACTTATATTTTGTATTTTGACTAAAACGAAGCTTTTAGCGGCTCCGACTAGTAGAAAGGCCAGGACCTAAAATGTGCGGTGTCGCATATTGCGCGCTTTCGGCACTGCAGGTCGCCCCCGTAGGTGGAGGAGTTTTTCGTGCCGTCCGGTTAAAATATGACGCACTGATATTTAGTTACACTCTCCGTGCCCGCTGGCTTGCCCGAACCCCAAGAGACGTGGAAAACGCAAAAAAGGTGGACGCTTAAATATGATTGCAGGGCTCTTTTGAAGGGGGGGGAGCGTTGTATTAGAACAAAACTTAAACAAATTTAACAAAGAAAGAAAGATGATGAAATGTTAAACTAGGTGGCACAAGCTGCTGCCTGTCACAAAGGGCATTTCCATTACCATTCATCCATCCATCCACGTGCTGCATGACAAAAAAGAAAAAAAAACAAAAAAAAAAAAACACTGAAGGAAGAGAGGAAACCGAGATACTTTTTCTTTTACCAGAATACCCAACACTAGGGTGCCTTCATGTGCGCTTTGCTTAGGGTGGTGGCATCTCGCCATTTTGTCTCACACATTTATTTTTAGTTTTTGTTCAGAAGCGCGTGAAAGCGCGTGGCTCTGCACGCGTTTGTGGCGTTGACTGTGTTAATGCGACATTTTGTTTTCGTCGATTTCTTTGTATTTTGCCCGTGAGCGCGTGCTGTCGGCATCGGGTACTACAAAGGGTGGCATCACCCTAAACAGAAGGACATTGAGGCATTCTACCCAACACAGGTTCCTTTTATTTTGCTTAAATCAAAAGCTGCCACCCTCGATTCACCCAGACAGAGCAACACACTTCAGGTCACAGCACGCGTGGTTTCATACCAAACCACGCTAATGAACACATAGTGAAAATGTGCAATAGACAAACAAAAACAATGAGTGAACATTGCTGCAAAAATTTCAATACAGCAAAAAAAAAAAAAAATCATCAAGAAATTAACAATTTTATTTGCAGCACCAAAAACACCCGGGGCCAGTTTGGAAGACAAGGCCGCAACCAAGTTTGCGGGTGTTGTTGCAGCAGATCCAGTCTTTGCAAGTTGACCACAGTAGCCGCTGCAACTGAAGATTCTTACCACTTACACCGTTACTACCGGGGTCAAGGACACAGAGCGGTGAGGACACAGCCATCGGAATATCCAACACCATGCATCAGCGTGTGAGGCACACAATACCCAAATACCGAACTCGGCAAACTTCAAACCCAAACACCACAATCTTTTCGGAGACAAACCTAATGAGGACGATAAAATTCTTGTCGAGACAAGGACCAGAAATAAACCGTGCAAAACAATGTTGGAGGAAAATAATATGCATGCCGTCAGCCTACACCTGACTAAAAGAGCCTCAAAGTACAGACGAGCATGCAACATAACGGGTGCCTGTGAAACGCCTGGAGAACAGTTTGGACAGTAGTAATGCAAAACTATCGATAGTTTTTCGATATTCGACTATTGATAGTACTATCAATAGTTGTTTTTTACTATCAATAGTCAGATTTCTGGCGACTATCGATAGTTTTTAACCACTTGTTTGTAGTAGTATTCGCTTGCGAAGCGAACACAGTTGCCGCACCGCCCCTACCCGCTCGCCCAAACTCCCCTCTTTGTCATCACTGAAAGCTGAACCAAAGTTGAGATGGTAAGCGCTTACGCTATTTGGTGCCCCATTTGAAAAAAGAAAGCGAGAAAAACAGAAGAGGGAGCGACGCAAACTACTAGAGTCGGAAAACTATCGATAGAAAACCACCGACAGTACTATCGATAGGTTAACGATAGTCGACTATCCATAGCCGATTAACAATAATTTTCCAATAGTTCACTATTGATAGTACTATCCATAGCTTTTTGATAGTCGACTATCGAAAGTTTTTCGATAGTCGACTATCAAAAGTTTTTTTTACTATTGATAGTCAAATTCCTGGCGACTATCGATAGTTTTGCACTACTAACGGACAGGCATGTTTTCCTGACCAACGTAAAAAGAGCAACCAAAGATCCCTCAGCTACAATATTTGTGTTCTTAAGATTAACTGCCATGAAACTGCGAATGAATGAAAACGTTTAGAACCTCGGCATTTGAATGGTCTGCTTTTAGCAACTTCAATGGCGTCTTAACGGAAGTCGTACCCTTTATATTGTCCAGAAAGCTGTTAGTCAGGGCGGCTGGCTACCAAAAAGGGCAACTTCGGGCAGGCCGTGCCACCAAACCATAGGGCACAAACGTTGCATTACAGTTTAGCAGAGCGCTCAGATGTTTGAGATTGCGGCCACGAGTTGCAAAATTCTCAAATAAGATGGCACCCCTTATCAAATCAAACTTCACTGCCCGGTGGGTACAAAGACAACCCAGAGTTAGAGAGCTTCCATCAATAAAATTAGACTATGAAAACAGATTGCATTGCGGCCCATTTCTCACTCACTCCGTTTGTTTGCAGACGTGAATGAAAGAGCTCGCAGGGGACAGAGCCTGCAAACACATGTTAGATTTAGTAACTGCTGAGCACATTTTGAATGTGGAGGACGAAACGACAACAACGATGCACACAGGCAGGAAAAAAAAGTCCCGCCTCATGGAAAGAAAACTAAAAAAAAGAAAGAAGCTAAATAAAAGAGAAAAAAATGTAAGACCAGACAAGACCTTAAATAAAATGATAAAACAAACATAGAGCGGGCGAAGACGGCAGTGCGCCATTCTCCATCAGGCGTTGAGGCTGTCGCAAACGTCCTGCCTCTCCCGCATCACCGCCCGAATCTTGTCGAAGAAGCACCGCTTGGCCTCAGGAGCATCCTCGTCTGACGCGTCTTCGTGCAGGATGCGCTTGCTCGCGTTCTCGCCGCCCTGCACCATCTGGTTGATCTCGCGGAGGTCCTTGCCAGGACCCCGTTTATCGCCGTTGAAGTGGTATGTGTGGTGCTTGGGTGAGAGCCGGTAGCAACCGGCCTCGAGAGTCGACACAAAGACGTCGCGGTGGTAAGACACCTTGCGCCGCGGAGAGTAGAGCAAGGGCTTAAAACGCGGCAGCGGAGTCAGGTGCACGGACTCATCCTGTGCCACGTCTGGCGAGAACTTGGTGGCAAACGAAGTCATCCTCTTGCGGTAGACCTCGTTATAAAACTTTATGATGTCGCCGCGTTCGTCGAACTCGAACTGCGTCGCCGTGCCAGCGAGGCGTGTCGGCGTGGGAGGGAGGCTGTCTGGCGGTAGCAGTGCAAGTGTGCTTGACGACCGTGTCGGTTGTTGGGGATTGCAGTCTTCGTTCTCGATGGTCACCGGGGAGCTGGAGTTGGAGGAACTGCCACGACCGGCGTTCTTGCGCAGCAGGATGCTGCGGTAGACGTGGCTCTTTGTCTGCGGCTGCTGCCGGTAGCACTGGAGGATCTCCTGGAAGCACTTGTTGACCTTTGTCACCTTGGTGACCACGTACACGGCGCAGAGGATGAGCTGGTCCAGATGGCGGTCTTTCATGAGATCCGTGTGGTTCACGATGGAGTGCTCGAAGCACGTCCAGATCTTACGGCAGACGTCCACATCCAGGATGTTCAACCTGTCGCAGAGGTCTTGAAGACGAACTGCTGACAGGTGGTACACTTTCCGGAAGAAGAGCGCTAGCGAGCCAGACCGCACCGGCCTTCCGTCTTTGGTCGTTTCCAGGCATGAGGCGGAGGAAACAACTTCCGGTACAGAGGATTCTACAGTGGGCATGTCAGAGGGTTGGAGCGTTTCACCATTTTTCATAGAGTTCACAGGTTCCGGCACAGAGGCTTCTGTCATGGGCATAGCAACAGGTTGGGAATCCTCACCATTGCTCATGAAGCTCTTGCTTAACATTAGCTTGCTTTCACTCGATGCACTTTCTCGCACGTAGCTGAATGAGACGAGCACTGTCTTGGACGTCTTACACTTTTGGTCCATGGCACCAGCGTCAGATTCTTTCGAAGAGTTATCGGAACCAGCTCTTTCTCTGCTTGGTGCAAAGAGTGGCCTCCGTGCTATGGATACGTGCCTTTCTGCCAGAGACCCATTAGGAACAATGTCATCCTCTTTCGCCATCTGCTTTGTGCTCCTCACTGGCAGGCGAGGCAGTGCCCCATCGCCAGGTCTGGCCTCTCGAAAGCCAGCAATCTGCCGGGGAAGCAGCACCTCTTTGCAGGTTGGAACGGACTGTGCGGAGTGCTCGATGGCCTCCCAGAGAGGCGACTCCTCTTTCCATGCAAGGCACTCTAGAATCTGCTCTTCGGTTCGATTCAGATGCTTCACCACCTCCCTCCAGAGTCCCTCCTCAGCGCGAATGAGAGGCTCAATGATCTTGTAGAAGTTGTATGGCACCAAGTCAAAAATCTCAAGGATCCAGGGGAACTCCCGCTGCGAATTGTAGCAGAACATGACAATCTCGAGGCAGCATGCAAAGAGAGACTGTTGGAAGATGCCATGGCACAGGTGGGCAGACAGCTCTGCATTTGGCCTCTGCTGTTTCTTTTCGATGCCAATGATGTTTTCCAGCACCTTGTAAAACAATGTCTCACCCAGCAGCAGTCGCTTGTGTGCAAACTCTGTGTCAGCAGCCACTGTGCATTGCTCCGGTGCAGGCTGAGTGTATGCTTTGACGAAGATGCCCCCCATCTCTCGGACAGTTTCTGCGATGCTCGTTTCGAGGGTCGGTTCGAATTCTCCAAACCATGTGAGCAGCTCTTTGCTTGGAGCGTTCTTGCAGTCCGCCAGCAATGTCTGCAACTTCGTAGCGCACAATGTGGCAGTCGACACGGGACTTCGGTTGATCGCCTCCCGGTTGTACAAATTCCCCCGTCCTGTGAGGGGCGTACGAGGCTGTGACGCTTCTATCAGTTTGCCGACGGCACCTTGCCCATTGTTGTGTCTCCGTTGCATTGTGTCGAAAGAGTGCCTGGGCATGCCAATCCGTTCGTGAGCGTCGTCTGCAAAGAAGATGCGCTCGTCCAGTTCCCCTTCTTCGAGGAAGCGCTCCTCGTATGTCTTGTCCAGCTTCCTTGAGCTATTGTTAAATGCGGACGGCTCCAAACTCAACGTCAACGTTTTGATGTCTCCCTGGAGTACATTCTCAGCCATCAACTTTCCGATGGGGCGTTTGAAGTGGTGGGCCCTCAGCACAGAGGCGTCCTCATAGCTTCCGTCGTGGTTGTTGACCAGCTCTCGGATGATGCCCACGTCTTCGTTATCGCAGTCTTCCCCTGCCTTCTCCAGTTGAGAAGTGTAGAAATCCTGATTCAAGAGGTCCGTCCGTTTCGCCGACACTGCGGTGCAGTAGCCATAGTCGATGCAGCAAAGCAGCAGGTGGTAGCAGTTGACAAGGTCCGACGAGATCTGGGAAAAACGTCCCTTGATGTACACATACAGAGTCCACAGGAAGTTGAACACGTCGCTGGACGTGCACGGCGGAAGCTTGCTGGTGCGCCTCTTGTACCCCGTGGACGCCTGCTTCGGGGCATCTTGGCTGGGTTCTTTGAACACGGCGGAGAAGATGGCGGTGTACTTCTCGTAGATCTTGGCGGTGACGCAGAAGCTCTTCTCGATGGTCTCGAGGCGGCGACGCATGAGGTCGTCCAGGTTCGTCATGTCGGCCCATTTTTTCATCTTCGTGAAAAAGTCCAGAAGGCTGATGTCGCACGTCGACAAGAGTCGCGTGAGAGAGACGCAGTTTCCCGCCACGCAAGACTTGTGGCCCACAGTCCGCGTGTTGCCGTTGCGGCACTCCACGTAGAGCGCGCAGGCGATCCAGTGGAACTGCTTGCCTTCAAGCGTGTAGTTCATACTGATGCTCTCGTAGATACGGAAGGCCTCATCGCGGGTGGCCGGATTTATGTTCAAACTCACGCACACCTCCCTAAAGCGGGTTATGACATGGTCGCCGTCCTTCATTATCCCCATTATGAGATCGGTTGTCGGGCGGACGTTCGGCGTGCCGCGTTATCTCAAAAATAGTCCCTGCGAGCGCGTGCTCGGGTTACGCACCATTCCACAAACACGACGAAAAATCTGACCTCGCGGTTTTTGAACGACTACCTACGTTGCAAGTGACGAGGGCTGCATGTTCAAGTCCTTCGATTGTCGATGTCTGGCGAAACACAGCACAAATGCAGAAAGACTAGCGAGGTTTCAATAAACTTGGCCGAACGCCGTTTTCGCGCTGACGCCAGCTTGCAGTGAACCCGGCCGGCGCTTTCAAACGTTGCGTTCGCGGCAGTTGAGGAGTATGTGTTGACGTGACGTCACCAAAAATGGTAAACCCAAGGTACTCCGGCGGGTTATGTCACGTGACAACACAAATAGCGGAGTCGGTAGAACAAAGCGTACGCGGGAAGGTTTTCGAACGTTACGGTACTACTCTCAAGCAAGATTGAGTAAATTTGGAACACAACATACGGGCACAACGGGTGACGTCACCAGCTTGTCGTCATACAACTAGGGGTGTCGCGAACTTTTGTCGAACCAGATATTTTGGTCGAACTTCCGGGGTTCGACTGGGTCGAACCGGTTCGACGAACCTTCGAACTTTTAACCAGATTCGACCGGTTCGACTTTGTGGACATTGTGGCCAGACCTTTATAAAAGCATGTCTAAGTTTGGAGAAATTTTTTTTATGCGAAGGGTTATCTTTAAATTTATGAACAGTTGCAATTAAAGAAACCAATTCTAATCACTGAAGAAGTTAATACTTTAATTGTTTTGTGCTGTATTAACTGAAATAACCAATCAGCGCAGCACTTAATTCATCTCTTAGCCATTATCATCCAATCCGAAGCCAACTGGCCAGCCTGTCGTGCATGCGCACACGAGTCGAACCTCAATAGAAGGTTCGTCGAAATTCCCACCAAAAGGTCGAAAAAGTCGAACCTGGTCGAACTCGAACCGCGGCCGGTTCGCGACACCCCTACATACAACGGTTGGCGCTCGGTTTAAACGTTACGTTGGTTTAAACCAACGTTAAACCAAACTACCGCTAGTTAAAAGGTTCAAAGCTAGAACAAGAAAGAATTGTTTTGTGTTTTGACCTTC